TCTTTTTTTTTTAATGCTGATAAAATTCTTGGTCATAATATAATTAAGAAATACAGTATATAAATTGAAAATATGATTGCTTGAAATTTGAAAATGGAAGTGAACTCATTTGGACAGTCAGAGCCGAACATATTCAGGCTACTCTTGATTGTTATGTGTCATGTGGTATTTCATTTCTGTATGTCTATGTTTTAAAATTTAGTTTGGTGGGAATTAATAGTTCATCCTGTAGGTAGAAATAATATTTTTGCATTTTTCTGACCTAACTTTTTTTTAGATTCTTCAGTGCATATCAGTGCATATAGACATTTTAAATTAAGAAAGTATTCTAAGCCTTTGTTATGCCTTGAAAAACTGGTTTATCTTTTTTTTTCCTCCCATTGGTTTTAAAATTATTTCTCTAAATTTGGCAGTGTTTGGATCTTACACGATAATATTGAGGCTGAAACAATTTGGTTTTGCTCTATTTTTTCCTTTTGTTCTTAACATAATACTCAAGACCAGAAAAAGCCTCCGCTAATCCTTCGCCCGTAAGATTGAGAAGTCAATTTTCAATAGAAGTTTTTTCTTTATCATAGTTGGGGGTAAAATACAGATGTAAGCATTAAAAAAATTACTGATAACTTGGTTTCTTGACACTTAACAGTTACACCACTTAGAGGGCTTGCAACTTCTGATCATATGTATAGGAAAAAACCGCATTTAAAACTTTGACCAGCTTTCATCTTAACTCATTACAGATTTTTTTCTTGTTTTGGAGGTAGACCCAGGGCTTCACATATACAAGGCATGTACTCTATCACTGAGTCAACATCCCTAGGCTGCATAGATTTAAAAATTAAAAAGAATATTGAAGTTAGTATAGGTAAAGGTAAAGGTAAAGGCCCTCCCGTTGATCGTCGATTTGCTCGAGCGGGCCCAGTAACGTCTCCATTGGAGACTTTGTTGTTACTGTGTCTGGCATATCGAATACTCTCGGTAGCTTGCCGGGCTCTCCGAGAGGGGCGGAGGAATCGAACTTGGGTCGGCCATGTTGACCGCTTGTGAGGCGAACGCCGTACCCGCTGTGCTATCGCTCCAGCCCGAAGTTAGTATAGTCCTACTAAAAGAAAAGCCTAAGTTTTTATTTTGATTGTGTCTTACATTCTGAAAAATAGCTGTTTTGGAGGAATCCAAAGACCCAAGTATGTTCATCTAAGTCTGCAAAACTTAATGATTTTAAACTTAACCTTCACCTAATCATTTTCCAGGGTTTTATGAGAATTAATGAAAAAAACACACTGGAAAATTGTTTCTATGAAATACAGAGTGGTTATTTCATATTATTGATACTAATTGTGGTTTTTTTTTCCAGTTTGGGTAACATAGACGATGCTCAGGGGTTACTCCTGGCTTTGCACTCAGGGATTACTTCTGGTGGTGCTGCGGGGAGCACAATTGAACCAGGGTTGGCTTTGTTCAAGGCAAACACCCCCCTCCTATACTATTGCTCCGGCCCCACTAGTTGCATTTTTAAAAATTCTGAATTGTCCCTTAAATCATGCTTTTTCCCCTAAAGGGAATTTTTTATCTTTCTCTTTTTCTTTTATCTTTTTCTTTTTCTTGTTAGGAATATCACTTAATCACTTAATCACTTAACTTCCCGTTAGTCGTCGATTTGCTCGAGCGAGCGCCAGTAACATCTCCATTTGTCCCTGTCGCGTGCTAGTGTAGCCCAATGGCATCTCTTCACTCCGGGAACATGGAGGGCCTCAAACCGATCGTTCATGATCTTGACAAAGAAGTCTGACCATCTGGTAGGTGGGCGGCCACGCGGTCTCTTGACATCCCGTGGAATCCAATCAGTAACAGCTCTAGTCCAACGGTCGTCTTTAAATCTCATTACGTGACCAGCCCATCTGATTTTCGACACCTTGGCATATGAGACAGCGTCCCTGATCCTTGATCGTCGACGGATGTCAGAACTCCGGATTCGTTCTCTCATTTGAGTGAAACGTGATATTCCAAGCATAGCTCTTTCTATTCTTCTTTGGGAGACCTGAATGGCGTTCTCATCTTGTTTGCGTAGGGCCCAGGTCTCTGAGGCATATGTTAATGCAGGAAGAACAGTGGAATCAAAGAGATGTGCCCGGAGCCGGAGGTTCTTCGTCCTCTTAGCTATTTCTTCGACGTTCTTGAAGGCGTTCCAAGCCGCTCTCTTCCTCCTGCGCAGCTCGGGTGCCAGGTCATTTGTCATGTTGACCTCTCGACCTAGGTACACATAGCTGTTGCATTCGGAGATGGTCGTTCCATTGAGAGCGAATGGGGCGTCAGGAACAAGGCTGTTTCTCATAAACATTGTCTTCGTAAGATTCAGCTGTAGTCCTACCTTTCCACACTCACGGTCAAAGTCGGCCAGCATTTGTGCCGCTTGGCTGATGTTTGGTGTTATTAAAACAATGTCATCAGCAAAGCGGAGGTGGTGTAGTTGCCGACCATCTATCTTCACTCCCATTCCTTCCCATTCCAGTCGTCGCATGATGTTCTCGAGGGTGGCACTGAAGAGTTTCGGTGAAATGGTATCACCCTGCCGCACCCCTCTCTTGACATCAACGATCACTTCTTTGTAGAATGGTGAGATCCTGGTAGTGAATCCGCAATACAGCTCACGGAGGATCCTGATGTATTGGGCTTGAATGCCCTGATTGACTAGGGCTTCAATGACCGCTTCCGTCTCAACAGAATCAAAGGCCTTCTTTAAATCAATGAACGTTAAGCAGAGCGGCATCTTGAACTCCCGAGAAACCTCAATGAGCTTGGTTACCGTGTGGATATGGTCGATGGTGCTGAATCCTTTGCGGAACCCTGCTTGCTCGCATGGTTGTCCTTCATCTAGTGTTCTGCCAATCCTATTCAGGATGACTCGAGTGAACAGCTTGTAGATGACAGACAATAGGCAGATCGGGCGATAGTTGCCTATGTCATGGATGTCTCCCTTCTTGAACAGTAGTACGGTCCGTACTACTGTTCAAGAAGGGAGACATCCATGACATTAGGAATATCAACTAGAAGAATTTTTTTTTTATTCATTTTTGTTTCAGGGCCACAACTGGCGATGCTCAGGTGTTACTCCTGGCTCCATGCTTAGGAATTACTCTTGGCAGTGCTCCAGGAATTGGACCTGGGTCAGCTGCATGCAAGAAAAACTCCCCACCCACTGCACTATCACTTCTGCCTAACAAGTTTTTGAAATTGATTATTAGGTTTGACTTCATTAAAACTTCACCTGAGCTCCTAACTGTTCCTCTGGGTAGTTTCAAATGTACTGATACATTGCCTTGTATATAAAGCCTCAGTCACACAGAACTTGGCACCACTTGGCTGTCTATTGTCACTTCAATTGTAATCATCATTGTAGTCTGGGTAAGAGTGAGTATAAGCTGAAGCCCTATTTTTTTTCTCCCTCTAGTTATATCTCTCTGAATATATATTGCTTCAAATAAAAATATCTGACCGGGGAACTTAAAAAAAAAAACTGTGGGCCAGAGAGATAGTATAGGGACTAATGTGCCCTGTATACAGTTGGCCCTGTACAGACAACACCTAGAACAACCCCTGTTGGTAGTCCCCCTAAAAAAAAAAAAAAAAAAAGTCGAAAAAGCTATAGGCAGAAATGTTGGCACAGGAAAATCTTTCTATAGGACATCATTATTCCTGGTTAATTTTTATTTATAATTCCCTTTGGATAAATAAAATGTTTATAATAGAAAATATTTTGTTGGGACAGGAGCAGTTGTATTGTGCGTGGGACACTGACCTTGCACACAGCTGATCTGGGTTTGATCCCCAGCGTACCATAAGGTCCTCTGAACCACCAAAAGTGAACCCTGGGCACAGTCAGGAGTAAATCCTAGCACTACCAGGTGTGGTCCAAAGAAACAAAAAAAGGTTCTGTAGGAGGGAAACGTGACTCAGAAGAGTGATTTTAAATTAAAACCTAATTTCTATATTGAGTCTTTAAAGTCAAAACTATTTTATAATTTATTTACCTTTCGCCCTCTTTCCAGATGTTGCAAAATATATAATATATATAATGATGTTACTGTTTTGACAGCTGATGAAATGTGTACTTGTACATTGTTTTTAAATTTTCTGAGTTTTAGGGGCCAGAGCAATTAAACAGTGGATAGGGTACATACCTATGTATATAGGATACATACAGTACTACAGCAGGTTTGCATCCCATATGGTCCCCAGAAATGAGGGCCACCGCACGTGAGCCCTGCCAGGAGTAATTACCAAGTGCAAAGCTAGGAGTAACCCCAGAGCATTGCTGGTGCAGCCCCAAAACAAAACAGTTTCTGAGTTTTAATAATTTAATAATATGGAATAGTAGATGCAGTTCACTTTTCTTTCTCTTTTTTCTGTACTTCGGCCACAAATGGTAGAGCTCAGGTTTTACTCCTGGCTCTGTGCTAAGGGATCACTCGTGGTGGGAACCATATTGGGATGCCAAGGATGGAACTTGGGTAGGTCTCATGCAAGGCAAACGCCCTGCCTGCTGTACTATCTTTCCGGTCCCAGGGTTCACATTTTAAGAGTAATTATTGTTAAGTGTTTAAGGGAGTCTTCAGGCAAAAATGTGTCTGGAGCTCTTCTATGGTATAGATAAATAGAATTTCAGACTTCTTTTTCTTCTACGGTATACTGTGGAGGAGGTTGGTTTTTTGGGGAATCATGATGTATTTTACTACTCTCAAGTAACAAAGTGTATTTTAGTCTTGAATGCTATAAGAAGTATAGTTGTTACTAGTTGTCCAGTTGTTATTTGGTTAAATTATTTTCTGATAAGTCTTTGCCAAAATTTAAATGAGTTATAAAAATGGACTTTGCATGGGTGGCTTATTCTGTTAATTTTATTCTATTTTTCTAATTTTATTTTATTCTGTTTCTCCTATCTAAAATTGCGGCAAATGAATTGACTTGCTTACCTTTTTTGTTTTTTCTGTGCTTTGTTTCAGTTGGCCGTATAATGTTTCAACTCTTCTCAGACATATGTCCAAAAACATGCAAAAACTTCCTTTGCCTATGCTCAGGTAAATGAATTATTTCCGGTGAGAAGTCATGACATAGTTTTAATAACTTTCTTATTAATAAAGTAGGTACTTGGGGCTGGAGCGATAGCACAGCGGATAGGGCGTTTGCCTTGCACGCGACCAACCCGGGTTCAATTCCCACTATCCCATATGGTCCCCCGAGCACCGCCAGGAGTAATTCCTGAGTGAAGAGCCAGGAGTAACCCCTGTGCATCACTGGGTGTGACCCAAAAAGCAAAAATAAATAAAGTAGGTACTCATTTTCTTTTGAAAGAAACAGCCTCTAAGGGGCCGGGGATGTAGCTTAGTGGTAGAGCATTTCCCTTGCGTGTTTAATAAGGCATGTTTGCCTTATTCTGTTTTAATCACAGTAGAAACAAAAAAATCAATAACTCAGTAGAAACAAAAAAATCAACAAAATCAATAACAATATCAATAATAAAAAAATCAATAACTCATCAAGATGAGTTTAGCAAATAAAATACTGTTTTCAGGGAAGCATTCCTCCCCAACACCCATCTTTTTTCTTTGTTTTGTTGTTTTTGTTGTTGTTGTGGAGGGCACACCCAGTGGTACTCAGGGCTCACTCCTGACTCTGTGCTCAGGGATGACTCCTGGTGAGGCTCTGAGGATCACATGTGGTGCCGAGGATTGAGCATGGGTCAGCATGCACAGCGAGTGTCCTGCCCCCTATCCTGTCTCTCTGCCACTCTCCTCCCCCTTTTATAGGGGCCATCCCCCCAGCAATAGCCAGTTTGGGCTCTGGAAGGCCTGGGAGTCTCTGTGGTCAGGCCTGTGCCCCACTTCTTGAGCTATATCCTTGCTGCTGGGAAGCATTTCTTAAAAACTGAGATCAAGTCTCCAAAGTAAAAAAGAAGATACTATACTAATGAAAGTTTCCTATCAGTGTAGTTTATCAGATAATAGCATGTTCAGAACTGATTGTCAGGAATTTATAAATTTATGTACTTTGAGCAAATTTAGCTTTTCAGATTGCATAATACAAGATTAGAAAATGGGTACAATATAATGAAATTTTTTTGTTTATGTAATTTGATTTCTATTTTAAGTAGAGAAATAGGAAGGAAAAAGGCCATTATGTTAATTAAAAGTCAACCTAAGGGCTAGGGAGATATGACTCAAAGAATGGAATGCATGGCTTGCAATTAGGATCCCCAACCAAGTTTGAATCCCTTGCACCACTTGGTCCCCAGAGCACCAGTGGGTATGGTACCCAAATAAAAAAATTTTAAAAAGTAGAAATGCCAGGCTGGGTATGTGACTCATGTGGTATAACCCACATGTACGAGGTCTTGGGTTTGATTCCTAGCACTGCCTGGTCATAACAGCACCATGGAATATGGTATTACAATAATTTAAAAAAAAAGAAAAACTTGGGGCTGGAGCAATAGCACAGTGGGTAGGGCGTTTGCCTTGCACGCAGCCGACCCGGGTTCGATTCCCAGCTTTCCATATTGTTCCCTGAGCACCGTCAGGAGTGATTCCTGAGTGCAGAGCCAGGAGTAACCCCTGAGCATCGCCGGGTGTGACCCAAAAAGCAAAAAAATTAATTAAAAAAAAGCTATATTAAAGTTTTAAGTATGTTGAAGGAATCCTGATGGAGGGAAGAAAACATTCATGGTGGGATTGGTTCTGGAACATAGTATGTCTAAAACCCAACTACAAATAGTTTTGTAAATCCTGGGGCTTTTATTACATCTTTCTTTTAAGTTTCAAGTACGAAGAACAAATGAGAAATTTTAGATTTATACTTAGTTACACACACATAGATATATAATCTTTGCAACAACTCTGGTTACATAGTTTTATTGGAATGATGATAACCATTTTCTAATCTTTTCTCTGATAGCACTTACAGCCTACACAACATAGTTTAACATTTATATGGTGCTTTGTATTTTGGGGTATATGTGTGTGCGGTGGTGGGGGGTGTAGGAATTTGATACAGAATTGATTGGATAGTAATTTTCATAAAAGGATATGTTTCTAGCCAATCTTTGTTTTTTCCCCCCTAGGAGAGAAAGGCCTTGGAAAAACAACTGGGAAGAAGTTATGTTATAAAGGGTCTACATTCCATCGTGTGGTTAAAAACTTTATGATCCAGGGTGGGGACTTCAGTGAAGGTAGAGCTAAAAGTTGTTATATTCGTATCACTCAGTTATTGGGTTTTAAAGTGTCTAATTGTAATTGACAATATTACAATTAATTGTAGTACTTAGTTGTAAATATTATTTCCCTTTTAGTATAATGTGAATATTAGGTCATAGTGAATCATTGCTGGTTAAAAGATCATTGTTGAGGGGCTGGAGCTATAGCACAGCAGATAGGGCGTTTGCCTTGCACGTTGCCAACCCCGGGTTCGATTCGCAGCATTTCATATGGTCCCCTGAACACCGCCAGGAGTAATTCCTGAGTGCAGAGTCAAGAGTAACCCCTGTGCATCTCCGGGTGTAACCCCCCCAAAAAAAATCATTGTCGAGCACAAATTTTAAAAGCATTTTATTTTTCGTGGCTGGAGTGATAGCACAGCAGGTAGGGTGTTTGCCTTGCACGCGACCGACCCGGGTTCGATTCCCAGCATCACATATGGTCCCCCTAGCACCGCCAGGAGTGATTCCTGAGTGCAGAGCCAGGAGTAACCTGTGCAATGCCCGGGTGTGACCCCCCCAAAAAAAAGCATTTTATTTTTTTTGTCTCATTTATTTTGCTTTTTGGGCCACACCAGGGCTGAGGGCTTACTCCTAGCTCTGTGCTCAGGGATCTCTCCTGGTGGTGCACAAGGGAACTATGTGTGGTATTGAGAATTGAAGTAGGATCAGCTGTGTGCAAGGCAAGTGTCTTATCCTTGTGCTGTCTCTCTGGCCCTTTAAATTGTTCTTATACAGCTCTCATACTACAGTTGCTTGGTGGATTTCCTTACAATGAATACCAAAACACTGATTATTTTTATTCTTACAGAATTTTGTTGTTTGCTTACTGTTTGAAACAAATGTTACAAGAGATCATTTTGAAGATCGTATTTCTTATGATAGGTTTTGCTAAAAATGAAGATAAGGCTGGAGAAATAGTACAGGGGTTAAGTTCTTGCGTGCAGGTGACCCTGGTCAGTCCCTCAGTACCCAGCACAGGTGGAGTAGCTATAGTAATCCCCAGCACTGCAGGGCCTAAGCAGCACCATACCTCAGGCCCTGTTGGCCAAGAATTATATGAAAGAGGCCTCTGGCCCTCCTTTGCATGACTTAGGAAGTCTCTCTCTCTTTCTCTACCTCCGAAATAAAATGAGATTTTTAAAAGAATCTTAGATTTTTAAAATGTTGATTATCTGCAGAAATTTTAAGTTGTCAAGTTCCTTTAGCAAATAAATCATAAACATAATTTATATGTTAATATTGAGTTTAATGTAGCTCATTATTTTCAGGTAATGGAAAAGGTGGAGAATCAATTTATGGTGGATATTTTAAAGGTAAGGTTTAATCTTGTATGGTCTTTCATTTCAGTTCTGATATTAAAGCAAGAATGGTCATATACTTTTAATGAGAAGAGGTTACTTATAGTTCACTTTTTGCATGAAACTAATGCTGCATGAAAATACTTTATTTGCATGAACTTGGGGATAAACTATATCGTAATATATAACTTAATTTACAAGATTAATTAAGGCTAACTTTATGGTTAAACATGACTTTCAGCATGGAGGTTAGGCAACTATATACATGAAAACTCCTATCTTCCTGCCTAAAACTGTCAACATATTCTTTTGTTTATAGAGAATGTGGTCTTTTGCAAAATGAAAAGGTAAGAGAACAAAGCTCAGTAACACAAACTCCGATTCTGTTCCCTTGCACCCTTTCTAATAAATTTTTAGACAGCCTGGGTCAAGTTGTGGCTGGATTTCTATGTTGCTTGAAGACTTGGAAAAATCTGTATACTACTTCATACATATTTCTGAATCTTTTTTCTTTTCTCAATGGGTTATTAGTTCCATGTTAGAGAAAAGAATCTGTTGTTTTTTTTTTCCCTAAACAAAGCAATTTCTTTGCATAAAAGTTGGTATTTCTTCCTTTCTCAAAGGTTTGTATGTTTTCTTTTGCATAATAGAATTACATGATTGTTTTATTCCTACATTAGTAGTATTTGCGTAAATCTTAACTATTACACTTGCCCCAAAAAGCCTTAGAAAAGTCAGTTGCAGAGATTTATAATGGGATCCAATATTACTAGGTTTTAATGCTTTGATAGCTTCAGTGTTATAATAGTCTTTTATATTTCTTTTGGGGAAAATGGATTACTACTGTTTTTCAGAAGCCTGTTCCCAAGGTAATCATTTAAAAATTTTTTTATATGTTTCTGTTTGTTCTAAAGAAAAATTTGTTTGTATCTTGTTAAAAGGAAACTTAAATTGATTTTCAAGATAAGTCTTTTGGAATAAAAATTATTTCTAAGTGAGCTTTATAGCAGACTTTTTGTTTTGAAGTAGTAAGAAGCAGCTTTTTCGCTGTTAACAATTTGAAATTAATGCTGTGGTCCACTTTAATATGATTGTTTCTAGTGGCAGATACTTATATAACTTAAAATTATATTTTGCCATTGGGATTCTTTTTTTGTTTTTACAGGACTTCTTCCTTAGATAATTTTGTTATCAGACTGATGAGAAAGTCTACTTCAATTAAAGTTTTTGCTCTCAGAGTCTAGCTTCAATTTAATTGAGGAATTTGCCATATAAAAATTAGGCACCGGGATTATTAAACTTCTTCCATGTATTCATTTCATTAGGGAAGATAATTGGAGATATTTTAGAAAATGAGTTTTGCTATAGGGACTTTACTAAAATTTCTGTTTTCCCTGAAAGTTATGAAGTTTACCAGTTAGCCAAAAGATGTTGCTTCTAAAAGTGACTATTCTAAGGCTGTTTGTATAAAGTATTAAAATATATGTTCTTTTCCTCAAGGCTTTAAGTAGTATTTTTGGTCTTTTTATGCTTTTATTACTTGAGTAGTTAAAAATATTTATTCTAAACGTTCAGTCAAGTATCAGTACTGACCAGAAGAGGAATTTCATCTTTTACTTTCTGTTTATTACTATGAACATTACACTTTCAAAGTAACTTATAATTGGAGACTGACGAGTTTGTGTTTTCTTCAAACAGATGAAAACTTTATTCTCAAACATGACAGAGCGTTCCTTTTGTCAATGGCAAATCGAGGGAAACATACCAATGGTTCCCAGTTTTTCATGTGAGTAGGCATAATTCAGAGATGAGCTTTTCTTAAACAGAGAAGCGCTGTTCATAGAAAGATTAAACTAGTTTAATCTTAAACTAGTTTTAATACTAGAATTTCATCAACTTGAATTTCATTATTCATTTCTTATGTTACAGTAACTGGTAAGCTCTAATACCACCCCAGTGTTCAGCATGTATCCTGGATTTAAAGAATTGCACTTAAAGGTTTAACTTGAAGGTGTACATTATTTTCATGTTCTGTTGTCGTCTTAAGAAATTAACTTTGACCAAATTTGGGGGCTTAGCTTACCAAAGCTAGATTGGGACATGAGCTATTGATGAACATTTAAAAATTGTTGATAGACTAAGATGCGATGTATCCTTAACATGAACAACAATTGATTTGAGTAAATCTTTGTGTAGTTGCTTTTTCTCTCACTGTATCTCTTTGAGCAAATTTGAGAGATTACAGTATTTTCTGGTACTATATTAAGATAGGTAATATACTATAGGGGAAGCATTTTTAAAACCTTGTGAGATCTCTATGCAAAATTGAATCAACTATTGTTGCTGTCATTTCCATCACAGTTTATAAAGATTATTACTCAGGGAAACCTCAGAATGTTAATTTTTTTAAAAAAAATCTTTACATGTACATTCATGCACAACAAAAATTTTAAATTCTAAAAACCTTTAAAAAATTTTAAATTGTAAAAACCTTTTATTACATATTTATTTAAAACTCCAAAATCTTCATAATTCTGTAATTATAAAATGAAAAATAAATTGTCTAGCTGAAGTTTAAGGCTTTTGATTGGAATTAAGTCTCTATTGTTGTGCTGTATAGGTTGGAATAATATTTTGTTTGTGGTTTATCAAAAAAAAAAAAAAGATTTTTTTGGTCATCTCTTTCTGAATGGATGAGTATGAATGGCGCTTCCCTGTCTTTAAAGGAGTAACATATTCATAGAAAATCTCACGTTTTAAATTTAACTGAAAATAGATTTCCTACATGGTCTGATAAAGTTCAGATAAGGGGCATTTTATTCCTAAGGAATGTCCTAAAAATGGAAAGCTGGTTAGATGATTATAATGCTTGAAGTTGTATGGGATAAAAGAAGACCTAAAACAATTGTTTCTCTATCTTACTGGATTTCACAGAATATTATTGTGCTTATTTATTAGAATATTTTTCTATTCTTAATCTTCTTAAAAGACTGAGAGAATTAGAGAGAGACATTTTGAATTTTTTCTTGAGAGTAATTTAATACAAAAGCTATTTTCTTTTTGATTCAAGTTTGCCATTTCCATTTTTAAGCTTATCTGAACTATGAACATAATTATTGATTCATTGGTCAAGAAGCTACCATCTGAGGGCTCTAAAATTTCTTTTAGATTTCCTTTTTTGTATCAGTACATTTAAATTTTTATTTTATTGGAAAGCGGCAGTTTCTTCTCATTGTTACATAATTAAACTTGTTTATAAAGTGTTAGAGTTAAAAAACATGTATCAGCATATTTTAATTAAAATCCAGTTATTTCAGATTCTCTATTTTAAAATTTAGAGTATCTTGTTTCTATGTTAGTCTTTGATTAATTTTTTTCTGGGACTTGACACAAATTAAATTCATTGTTATTTTCTGTGTAGCCTTATTTTACTCTGGGACTACTGTTTTTGACAAGGAATGTCAGTTTTTATCTATTTATTTATTTGAAATTTGGGGTCACGGCCAGCCGTACTCAAGCCTTACTCAAGCCATTGTGCTGAGAAATAACTTTGGCAGGGCTCCAGAAACCATACATGGTATCAGGGATCTAACCCTACTTGGCTGTGTGTAAGCAGGTGTCATAAAATCTTGGCCCTAAAATTGTTTTAGCATAAACAAATTGGGTTAAAAAAAAAAACGCTTGGGAATTGTCATAATTACCTAACTAGAGATTACACTAGAAACCACTATGAATTTGTGATTGAAAGACAGTTTTTGTACTTCTGAAAAGAGGTTTTTTGCTGTTGATTTTTATGTTTTTGGGGGCCACATCTTGCAGTGCTTGGGGGCTTGGAGGGGGGCATGTGAGGTGCCAGGGATTGAACCCAGATCAGTTGCATGCAAGGTATGTTATGTATGTAATGCAACTCATGTACTACGTATGACTCTGGCCTCAACTTCTAGGAGTTTGTTAACATCAATCTAGAAAAGAAAGTATATATTTTTTGCACATTAAAAAAACCCAGATTTTATTTTATTTTTAAAGCTTTTGTGCATTTGCTTTCAGTGCTGGCCCAAAGTACCATTTCCCATTTGTTATGGGATAAAGTTGAACCAGTATTCATATTTACAAACCAACATTTCCTTGCTTTTTTTAGTAATGATAGGAAAGATGGAAATGGAATAATAAAAGAAAAATCTGAAAACTGCTTTGTAAACCTAGGTTATTTAGAATTGGGTTATTACTATTTTTTGGTATGATGTATTATCTTCTAGTAGTGTAAATGACCACAGATACTGTTGCTTAAAGGTGAAGTTATGTGGTTGGGTGACTGTGCCTTTTACCCTCTTACCACATTTATATCACCTCTAAGCAATTGTCTGGAGTCTGAAAAAGGGTAGTGGAAAAATGATCAAATGTCAAGAATTGGATCCTCTTTTATAGGCTTTATGAGAACTTACCCTATACCCCTGCAGATTTGTATTTCTAGTTTGCATTATAAATTGTTATCTCTGCAGTTCCTTAACAATAAATTTGGTGTTAATAGTATGTTTAGTGTAAATTTAGTGCTATTAGAGTACTTACAAAAAGGGTTTTTCTAGGATTCTAGTGCTTTACATTAAATATTGTCTTCATGGGGCTGGAGAGATAGTACAGTGGGTAGGACATTTGCCTTGCACGCGGCCGACCTGGGTTCGATTCTCAGCATCCCATATAGTCCCCTGAGCACCGCCAGGAGTAACTCCTGAATGTTACTTATTATTATTAGCCAGGAGTAACCCCTGTGCTTTGCCGGTGTGACCCAAAAAAGCAAAAAAAAAAAATTGTCTTCGTTACTTTCACATTTAAAACCTCCTCTTCCTAAGGCATGCATTATTATTGTTAACTAATTTTGTTTATGTGATTTCTTTTTGGGAGTGGGAAAATTGGGGTGCCAATCAGATTTTTTTTCTATAAAGCTATTTGTAGTTTTTCCAGTAGCTTATGTCTGCTGCTAGTCACAGTGATTTTGCTTTGAGTACCTACATAGAAAACTGATTTCTTTTTGGAATAACACTGCTCAAGAAAAGTGAAACAAGTAAGAGATGTGACACTGTTCCTATGAATCACAGGAGAAACAGTGTTTTTTTTTTTTCATGTTAAGGAATTCAGAAACCTGTGCCCTAAGTAGTAATTAAGGTAATTTGCCATTATTATTATTATTATTATTATTATTATTATTATTTCAAGCTAAAGACTAGGAAGAAATGATGATAAAAGCTATTGATGGTAAATCCTAGAGTATAAAAGGATATCTAGACCAACTTTTCTGATAATAGAAGTAAGGAATAAAATTAAAACAATATAAAGCAGCTCAGGTTATGCTTTTTATATAACATGGAAGAAGCTAATAGCTATATAATCTTAATATTCTATTCAAATTTATTTTCAGTAAGTATTAGAAGCCTCAAGCATTATTATAAAATAATGACTTTTGGGAAACTTATTTTCCTTTGATTGATAGTGATATGTATTCTATTCTGGCTCTAATTTTCATTGTCTTTATATATATCAAAAAGATTAAGAAGGTATTGCATCAGGTAATTTTAAAAGATTAGGTCACTAGTTTAGCTTTGCATTAAATATCTCTTCTGGGTTAGAGCGCTAACCTAGATACCAGGAGCTATATTTCTTGTCTTGTTTGCTATTCACCCTGCATTTTGTTTTTCAAACAGCTATTATTTTCACACCAATAATTTGGTGTGAAAATGTGTATATAAAGGGAAGAAGGTGTTTGTTGATCCCAAGTTTCTTGAATGTATGGAATGATTTCTATGCAAATATCGCTATGCCTTAAAGGAAATAGTTATAATTGCCCAGTATCAAAAGTGATGTAGAGAACCTCTGGACTTGCTTAAATCAAAAGCAGTGGTCTTCTCATTAGCTTCTATGAGAGCATTGGTATTAGAAAAAATATAGTGGCCACAGTTGAGGCTGACTCAGCACAACTGAACGAATGCAGGAGAAAGGCCTCCGGAGTTTTGGAATACAGTTTCTGTCAGTGGGTCACTGTCAGAGGATATGATAATTAAACGTTTTTCAAATATTGATGAAAAATAAAACGTTTGAATTTAATCAAAAATTTTGTTTTCTTTTATTTTATTTTTGTTTATTGGGTCAAACCCGGCGTTGCACAGGGGTTACTTCTGGCTTTGCACTCAGGAATTACTCCTGGCGATGCTCAGGGGAACATCTGGGATGCTGGGAATCGAACCCTGGTTAGCCGCTTGCAAGGCAAACGCCCTACCTGCTGTACTATCGATCCAGCCCCAAATTTCTTTTACATTTTAAATTACAAATAGAATAATGTGAGGAACAGATAAGATGCTCTAGAGTATTTAATAATCAGACTTCTGTACCTGAGTGGTAAGAGTATCATTTCAGAGTAGTGGAGTTATAGTTGCCACTACAAAAGGACAATAGGAGTTGATGAGAAATTTCCTTTAAAGGGGCTTATAAAAAACATGGTAGACATTTTGGTAGTAAAGTGCAGATTTTGGTAGAAGTGCTTATTTTCTTCCATATATTAATGAGTCTGTGTAAAAAGAACTGTTAGTAACCTGAGGATTTCTAGTCATTTCTTCCTTTTAGATATAACTTCACATATTAATATGAGATTTTTTATTAAGAGGTGCATGAAACTTAACCATAAACCAAGTAATCTCATTAGGTATTATTCTTAACTTCCAGTCTGAATATTGCTTCAGTGTTTATATCCCATATGTATTAGCAAGAAATTTTGTATCTAGCAGTAGTTGCTCTATA